TGCTGGGGAGCAGGGGGTCCTGGGGAGCAGAGGGTGCCGGGGAGCAGCGGGTGCTGGGGACCAGGGGGTCCTGGGGAGCAGCGGGTGCTGGGGAGCGGGGTGCTGGGGGAGCTGCCGGTGGCTTCTTTCATCCCCTCTTCCTTCCCCTAGGTTACAGCTCCGTCGTAGCGGACAGCCCGGCGGAGGTGGCTCTCAGCAGCAGTGGGGGCAGCAGTGCCAGCAGCCAGGCTCTGGGCCCCCCATCTGGCCCCCACAACCCACCCTCCAGCACCTCGTGAGTGTCGGCCTCTGTCGGGGTTGGGGACAGGCACACACAGGCACGGGATACCCACTGTTGCCCATGGTGTGGACACAGGCCTTGCCCTGCCCATTGGCACCCCCACGAGCCGTGTCCCACCTCTTTCGGTCTGGGACACAGGGCATGGGTCCCCCAGCTTTGCCCTTTGTGACGTAAAGCGTTCCTCACTGACGGGGCTCTCAGCCCACACCCCCTTGGGCACTCTGACTTCCTCTTTCCCGGAGGAGCTCTGGTTTGGCCCCAGCCCCCCTTTTCTGTTCCTGCCCCACCGTCACCTGACTCCATGGAGGGCTCTGTCTGCTCCCCAAAGTGAAAGACCCCCCCCAAAATCCTCTTTCCCATCCCCAGCCACCTTCCCCTGGTCCCCGATGCCCAGGACAGCGCCCCACGAGAGCTTCCCCCCTGGGTGGGACCTCGGGGAGCCTGTTCCCACTCACCCCTCCTCTCTGGGGGGCTCCCAAGGGCTGTCTGCCTGAGGCACATCCTGTGGCTGGAACGCCCACTCTCACACCCTGTTCCATGGACCGTTCAGAGGCTGCCCTGTTTCGTAGTGGATGTCGGGGGCACGGTCTCCTGGGAGCGCCGAGTCTTCCCACCTGGCGGCTCTTCCTCCCAGAGAGCCCTTCCCTCCGTCCCTCGCCCACCCCTCGCGGTTCCTCTGCTGCGGCTGGTCTCCTCCCTATTCTCCCTCCCTCGTCACCCTTCCTGTCCGTCTCACCGTGGGGACACTCCCATGAGCCCCCCCTTCTGTCTTCTCTCCAGGAAGGAATCCAGTGCAGCTGCCCCAGCAGGCGCTGGGGGCGTAGCCCCAGGCTCAGGGAACAACGCTGGGGGACCCAGCCTCCTCGTGCCACTTCCTGTGAACCCTCCCAGCTCCCCGACACCCAGCTTCAGTGATGCCAAGGCAGCTGGCGCCCTGCTCAACGGACCCCCGCAGTTCAGCGCTGCCCCGGAGATCAAGGTGGGTGCAAAGCCTGTGTGTCTTGCCCCTGCCAGCTTTGCCCAGACCTTTGCTGCACACACCCACCCCCACCCCCACCC